TCTACTAATTGGTCAACATCACGGCCTGAGTGAGGACCACCATGTGGAGTTGCCATTTTAATTTACTTTCTAATTAACACCCAAAGTACATTGCGCATGCGCAATTATGCCACGTGGGCGATATATCGTTCATAGCGATAATATCACGGAGGAAAAAGAATGCGATACAATATATCGATGCAATAATTACCGCGATAATATCGACTTCACGGTATATTGCCCAACCCTAATCCTAAGCCAGCAATACTGAGGTGAAAGTATTCATGAACAATAATGCATCAGCAGTGCTCCATCAGCAGATAACAATCCTAAATTATCTTATAATAGTAAAATGGGCATAAGGCAATTTATTAGAAGATATCTATGTGTATGTTGTACTACTGATGAGAGTACTAGAGTTGGTCCTGCTAGGGTCTCCAGTCAAGAAGAAGCCAGGCCTGGGATAGAATTAACAGAAAGAAAAAACAATAGCAGTTGTCTTGAAGCAAAAAAAGAAGTTGCAATTAAAGATACCACTAATGCAGGACATGATAGAAGACTTGACATTCAAGTACAAGGAAACTATAGCAGCAATGTAGCAAGAAAAGAACAAATATCAACTACTAATATTAATCAATCAAAGGATGGTGCCTCAATGATACAAGAACCAGTAAATCCATGGCATAATAGAATACCAGTAGTAGGAGAGGAAGATCCATCAACAAGAAACCAATCAAAGAACATACAAGGAGACCCTCTTGAGCAAAAAACAGAATAATACAGACAGGCAGTACCAGTACATACGAACAAACAGATGTACCATCTATTGATACAATAAATAATGCCTCAGTGACACCTGAACCAGACTCACCAGCAGATCCCCAGCAAAATAGAAGACCAGTTGTAGAAGAAAATTCATCTCAATCAGAGAACACAAAAGGACAATCTCTTATAGGGTTAAAGCAAAATAATAATAGAATAAAACAGACGGGCAGTAGATGTGAGTCAGAACATGAAGCAGCTGAACTTGCATTTAGAAAAAAGGTTGGAACATTACTATATACCAATGAAGGGCTTATATACTGGAGTGAACTTAATAAGCATGCTGAACAAGTATTTATAGAAAAGACAGGAGATGATAATGTTTTGAATATACACACTATCTGGATCAAGAACTCACCTTGTAATAGTAAACGTAGAAGATGTGCTAATAAACTTATCAACCATTTTGCTAGTAAGCCTAACAAGCCAACTATATACATTGGAAAGATATGGAAAAAAGAACGTCCAAGAAATGAAAAAGGATTGAGGAGAATGAAAGAGCTAGGTTTTCATCTCAAAGCATGGTATGCACCTGGGATAATTGAAGATTCTGATGAGACAGAAAAATATCTCAAGAGTCTCTGATATTACAATATTACACAATTAATAATTATATAGTATTACATTCATTGCTTGAAAAAAAAATTATCCACAATCACTAAACAAACATGGACCTATCACAACGTAAACATTACCGTGACAACCAGTTTGATAATACACACCAGCAGCACAACAACAAATACAATATCAATTAATTAGTTTAATTAATAATCAATTAATTAATTATTAATTAATCACATGTACATGTGTATTCATGTGTTTCATTATCAATCACTTACTTGGCTTCCATTATGAGTCTGTCCATCAATCCAGTGATTATCATGATCTCCATTCTCCTCCTCCTCTTCTCCTTCAAAAAGCTTCTTCTTAACGGCCTCCATTTGTAACTGGCCATGCTGTGCCTGTCTTGAAGGCTTTAGAAGGTAGCGGCTGGAGAGAGAGGCACTCTGACGGTCAGGCACTGATAAAATAGAGCTCAATCCTTCCTCCATGTCTAAATAAAATGAAAGAGAAGAACAGAAATATCAAAATAAGCTATACACGAGTCAATTACCTTCTTCATATGACCCGCCATTTTGAATAATTAGATCTAATTAGGAACTGGGCATGCGCAGTAGGTCATTTTCCCGGGTTATCCCGAATATCCCGGGAACTTACAGCCGTTCATTCTGTCATGGCGGACACAAAAGTGAAGGAAAAGGCTCTTGAATTTGATGCATACTACAGCCAGAGCAGTGAGGGAGAGGAGAAGGAAGAAGAGGATGATATTGGGTGGCATTTTGAAGAGGAAACTGGTAAGGAACATTGACAATGCTTGCAGTTTATATTATAAATTAGCCACACCCATTAATTAATCATTGTTTTATTTTCATTAGCTGATTTCACAAAGAAATACAATGCAATGAAGAAAGGAGAGACTCAGTCTAATCCAAACGCTGCAAGGGGCACCTCACATTGCTCCAACAATCCTCTCAGGAAGTACGAGAACCTCATCAACCTCGGCTCCTATGCCCCGGCCCTTTCATCCTCCAGTCTCAATGCACTGGAAGGTCTTTGTCGTAAAACCGAGTCCTTGAGGGTCCGATCTAAAGATAAATCCGACCGAGCGACCACAGAGCAGGTCCTAGACCCTCGGACTAGGATGATACTATTCAAGTTACTGAGCCGCGGATTGCTAAGCAACATAAGTGGGTGTGTCAGTACTGGTAAAGAGGCCAATGTTTATTATGCTGACAGTGCAACTGGCCCGTGTGCTGTTAAAGTATACAAGACCTCCATATTGATATTCAAGGATAGGGATAGGTATGTTAACGGGGAGTATCGGTTTCGTCATGGTTATTCCAGGCACAACCCACGGAAGATGGTCAGACTGTGGGCAGAGAAGGAAATGCGTAATTTGTCTCGTCTTCATCAAAACGGAATCGCTTGTCCTCGTCCGATAATCCTTCGTGGTCACGTTCTAGTGATGAGCTTCCTTGGGTCTGGTGGTTGGCCACACCCTAAACTAAAAGACGCTAATATAACTGATAAAGAAGCAAGGGAGCTATACCTGGAGTGTGTCCTGATAATTCGTAAATTATTCTGGTCCTGTAAGCTGGTTCATGCTGATCTCAGTGAATATAACATGTTGTATGATACAGCTAATGGCTGTCTCTATATCATTGATGTGTCTCAATCCGTTGAACATGATCACCCTCATGCTCTAGAATTTTTAAGGAAGGACTGTACCAACGTCACTGAGTTCTTTCGTAAAAAAGGTATAGCAGTAATGAATGTTAAATCTCTATTTGATTTTGTCACTGACGGTACAGTAACAGTTGATAATATTGACCAGTATATTGAAGAGGCACAGAAAAGAGCAATAGAAGAGAAAGGTACCAATGAAGATCAGGTTGATGATGCTGTTTTTAAGAATATATACATACCACAATCATTGCATGAAGTATCTCGTTATGAGAGTGATGTATCTGAAGCTCAAACTGGTAGTAAGACTGACATTGCTTATCAGACCATAACTGGTTTGAAACCTGATCTCTCTGGCACACTACTAGTACCACAACTGCTTCAAAACGGCGAAGAGAATAAGAGTGATTTTAACAATGTTCGTGATCAAGAAATCAATGATTTATATCAGGAAAGTGCTAATGTTGATCAAGAGAGTGGAGATGATTCATCACAGATCAGCAATACTGATGACAGTTCTAATGATGAGGAGAGTGTCTCTGGTGATTGCTGGGAGGAGAGAGAGAAGCCAAGTAAAGAGGAAATATCAAGACAGCGTAAGGAGCACAAGGAGACGGTGAAGAAAGAAAAGAGAGAAAAGAGGAAGAACAAAATACCAAAACACATTAAGAAGAGAAAGGAGAAGGTTGCCAGACAAAAACAGTCAAAGAAATAGCTTGTTAAAATGTTATTAATAATTGAAAAAATGATAATAATAAATATTATTACTGATATTAATTGTATTTATTTTGTGATGCATGAGTTTTTCCTAAGTGCAGCGATTACAGTATCCATATATTTATTGACAATGGTATCATGCTTCCATCTTTGAGCAACATTAACTCGATGTCCAAGTTGTTTCCTATAGTGGAAGAGGAGACCAATTTCAAATGGGACCAGTAGCTCTTTTTCTGCTCCGTCTTTCCATGTCTTTATGTCGTGACAATAAGCTGTTATTGTAATATTGAGATTAACCATCACTTTAGGATGAGATGTTTTGGGATTATCATCTCTCAAATATCGTTTGAAATAAATCGGAACAACACACTCCATTTTGGGACCTGCCTCTTCTTTCTCCTGAAACAGTGAATTTGCAAATGATAGACTAGCATATTTTGATAAATCATTTTTGTTTTTTAATTCATTTAACATTCCAAACCAGTCTTCATGTTTCATGGGTATTAAAAACTCATCCACATCATGTAGTGCCATGTATTCTGATATGGCCATGTGTCGGTACACACATTCAGTAGCTGAAGCTGAAAGTGCTACATCAAAAACCTGACCCAGCCATCCGTCAACTAGTGACCATCCTAGTACCTCAACATACCCAGTCTTTATGTAGGTCTCTATTGCCTTGTATATTGCATCTTTTGCTTTCAGGTTTCTGTGAAAGTAAATTGTTATCATTGAGGAACCTAGTGCTCTGTTCAATTCTATAAAATTGACAACTTCGGCTGGTTGGATGTCATCATAAAGAGCTTTCTGTATGCAAGTTGTGAATGTGTATTTCTTCTTTACTTCCTTTGCTTTAAAGACAGGCATTAAAGGTAACAGTTTGTTGCACTGACTATCTTTTGATAGTTGTATAGACTCTGGTCTTTGATTTAGTTGTATTCTATACACGTGACTAAGGGTTACTTCATACCATGGTGATTTCACAACATTCCCAGTTTGCTTCCAATGCTCAACAGCACTGCATGAACTCTGGCCAGTCACTTTAGCATAAAGTTTAGGAAGATTTGGTTGTTTCTCATGATTGTGAAGAACAATGATAACAACAGATGGAGAGAATGAGCTCCTTGTATCATAATAAACTGTCCTACGAGCCTAAAGTAAAATTGAGTAAAATATACAAATAGCAGTTACAAGGAAATGACTAGTTTAAGTCATGCTATGCATCAATGAAAATGATGTACTTTAGTAAATAAACTGTTTGTAGAATGTACTAGGTGAATAAACATGAGGGGGCAACCGTGAGCTATAAAATTGTAAAACAAAACTAAAATAAAATGATTCTAATCTAGCTCTTGAGAGGGACTTCCCCACTCATGCTCGCCTCAAATATTAAAAACTAACCAGTGTTAGTCCGTTAGAACTATCTTCAATGCTAATCCATTCCTTCTCTACTGTAGTATCAGGATAGAGAGCCTCATTCACTTCAGTTCTATTTGGTGCTAAAGAACCAGGGCTTTTAGGTTTGGAAGGCTTTTCTAGTTTAGGAGGCTTTCCAGTCGGAGGGTCTGGTTTGTGAGTGACTGATGCTGGAGGAATATCCTGGACATCAAGGGCTTTAGGTGAGAACAAGGCAGACTCCTCATGTTGTATGATATCTCCTTCAATCCCTGACTGTTGTGTACCTTTCCTACTGGTAGAAAAGTGATCAGGATACCAAAGGATAGTTAACAGCAGAGCAGCCATTAAACAGCAGAGGAAAGTTAGTAAAAGGCGATGCCTTCGAAAAACGCCTTCCATTTCTGGCGAGTTAGCGTTTCCCAAATGGGCATAGATATTAGTCAGGCGGATTAGAGTACATGAATTTAAAATTTCCTGTACTATAAAATGGGCGTGGTTTATCAGCCACTCCTCCTTTCCGTGCAAATTCTATTCATGGCTGCTCAATTGCCTGGTGGTTTTTCTCCCGTCCAAGCTGCCCACAAACGCATACAAGTCGTAGCAGAACAGGTATACATGAATGCAACTGATCATTATAGTCTATTGCTAAGGAAAAGGCTAAACCAAAGCTTGAAGAGTTGCTCCGTAGAGAGTTCACCATATTTGAGGTGGTGACCTTCACTGATCGATACAATGACATGATGAAAGAGGATTGTGTCAAAGTAACAGGAACTGTTGAATTTGATCCAATTAGTACTTAAATAACTGCATTGTTTTTAAATGTATTTTTAATTTTATTTCTTAGATAAAGGTAGATGGCGATAAAGTGCTTCTGGTTTATCTTGAAGAAGCTGCCGTGATGACCTTTCCACCTCAAGTAAACCTACTGAGTTACATTCCTGATGCCCCTGCTGATTGTGAGCTTAACGAGTTTATTGAAGAGCTAATGAAGTTGAGGAAATAACTATAATATAGACAAAATTTAATTATTGTTATCACACAAAATAGTAAAAAAGTTTGGGGTTTTGTAGTAATTAAAAAATTTTGTTCAAATTTCGCTTAGTTCAAGATGTTCCTTTTGAACATTAAAAGTTGCTAAAAATAGGAATAATAAAATACATTATTATTATTATTTCTATTACCTTTAAATCTGTTGAATGAGAAGATCACTACAGTCCCTATTAGTATCCCAATTATTAAAGCTACTAACAGTACACCAAGTGTAGTCCCTACTGCTATATATATACCAGCATTATCATTTACTGGTTCTGGTATACATAGGGGATAGAATAAAGACCTGACATACTGTATACATATGATAACTCTTCTTACCAGTACAAACTGGTTGATCTCCTTCCCATTCTCCATCATCAGTACACAGAGCTGTTACATTATCACCAATTAGTTCAGCATTGCTCTCTTGACAGTAATAGGTAGCAACAGAACCAGCATAAGTATGATTGTAGGTGACTGATAGACCATAATTCAACAATGGAGGGGGACCACAGTCCTCTAAAATAACATCATAACAATACAATCACTGACAGTTTGTGGTATGTGGGGACATTATGTTGTCTTACCCAGTTTAATACAAGATGGTCTTAATCCACTCCAGCTGCCATTAGAAAGACAAGTGGATACTTCATTCCCGTCAAGCCTGCACTGTGGCGTTAGACAGAAGTACTTCAATACAGATCCTTCAGTAGTAGCTGATACATTGTATCTAAGACATGTATCATTTATATGAGGGACCCCACAATCATCTATTGATATGAAATAATAATGACATTCATTTAAAATATACAGCTTGTACTAACTGAGACAGCGTCTTTGTTCAACATTGGACCACATTCCAGAGGAGAGACAAACACTGTTAGTATTCCCTTGCAGTATGCGTCCATTAGTACAAGAGTAAGTAGCTATTGATCCTTCCAGTGTACCACTGCTGGTAGTAACAGTTAGGTAAGGTACATTGTGAACTGATGGAGGGGAACCACAATCAACTGGATGAATTATCACTGTGTCATTATAAAGAATTAATAAATTAATAAAATTATTGTACTGCTATAAACATTGCTATAAGCCATAAAGAGCATAAATACATCAATATGCATCAGAAAATGTAATAAAATTCACTTTGACAATATGGTGGGTCATTGCTCCATTGACCATTATCTGTACACACTCTCTGACTGTCACCAATCAGTTGGTAAGACTCAGGCTGAGCACAGCTATACTGAGCAACAGAATGCAACAATGTAGAACTATAGGACACTATCAACTGGAGGGAGTTTGTAGAGAGATTACCACAATCAACTAAGAATATAAAGTTTATTATTATTATTATTGTTGTTGTTGCTATTAATTCCTTACCAATGCATTCTGCATCAATATCTGTCCATTCTCCATCTTCATCACAATAACTAGTTGTATCATTACCAGCCAGTGCATATCCATCAGTACAGGTATAGACTGCAACTGATCCAGTTAATGTACCATTGTATGTCACTAGTAATGGATGGACTGCTTCTTCTGGTGCTTCACAATCAGCTATGAAGATAAAGGAGGTATCATTATTAATGAGTACTAGCTGTCATTAACCTGTTTCACAGTAAGTTCCAGTATATGGTGGCTCACAAGTACAATAAGAAGTGTATAACTGCCGGTAGCAACTGGCATTGTTTTGACATGGATTACCTGGACCACATTCAAAAGTTACTACGCAATAAAATAAATAAATAAATAAATAAACAAGTAAATAATGTATAAAATTGTTTACTTATATTTTGGCAGAGAGGTCCATTATAGCCATAAGGACAGGAGCAAGTATCAGTATTGACACAAGCACCTCTCATACAAGGAGGATCACATACAACTGAAAGAGAGAAAGAATTAAAAATACTAAAAGTTAAACTGATCACTAACTAACTAACTTGGTTGACTGTTAATTTTAATCTCTTCAATGGTCTCTACTTGCTGAATGGTACTCATTCCAATGTCAATACGACCAGTTACTGCAATATCAAAGAGACATGCAGCATTAGTACCACACAGAGCAGTGGCCATTGATTCTAATGCAGTATCATTGAACTGGGGAGAGAAGGCTGGAATGAAGTCAGGATCATAATAATTATTGAAGTTATGAGTAGAATCATAAGTGAATAGAGAGTTTGAAGAACTGTTAATGATCCCTATAGGAATAAGTAATAAATAATAATAGTCGTATAAAACTCACAAGTCATTCCAAAGAAGTAGTGTATTTGTTGGTTTGTTGGATCACGTGGTAATTCTCCATATCTTGGCTCAAGATCATTATTAGAATTTCCATCAAATCTACCCAGTAATCCACTGGTGATGTGTCTATATGTATCAGGTAAACTCACACTAACTAATGATAGGTAGTCATGTTCCTGTTTCACTATGATATTGACTCCATCACTGAATACAGCAGTGTAGGTATTGTTACCATTATTCCTTATTGTTACATTATTATAATGGACAGGTAGGCCAGTGTCTATTATAACCCATGCTCCATTAACAATAGCTCTTAGTCCAATGAAACTGTACTGGAACTCAACAGTGTCTGATGTTGATTCCTTAGCTACTATAGAGCTGAATACTGTGCCATTGGCTGGTGCACTGTTAGTGTTGGATATGGGGACCATTCTTCCTTGAACTGTTAGCAGGTTATTGACTGTTTGTATTAGAATGAACTCTCCTCTTCCATTGAATGTGTACTGAAGACCATCCAGTGTTAACAAATGAGGGTCTCCATACATGAAACCTAACGAATGGGTCAATATAGTTACTTATACTGCTGTTGTAATCGTATGCTTACTTGATGGCTGAACTGAAAATCCAGAGCAGTTACTTGAAGGACGATATGATTCAAAAGTTGAACAATCACAACCAGTCAATAAACAATAGCGAATAAAAGGAACAATATTGTCAGTGAATTCGTTAGCATAAGAGAGTACAGCTGGTTGATTTTCAGGAATATTTCTCAGCTCATGTCCTCCATATCTTCCAAGAATTAAACTGCCATTACTATTGTAGCAACATTGCTGTTTTGCAGTGGAATTTCTGCTTATGAAAGAGGATGTTCTATGATAAAGAGTAAAGACAATACAACTATCGTTAATCAATGGCGTACTTACACATTAAAAAATCCAGTTGATCTATAACAAAGGCTAGCAGTAGGATGAAGGTATTGATCCATTATTCTTCTACCTGGAGATACATCAGGTTCAAACCCACTACCAGGAAGATTAGCCTGATTTATATTACAAGGACACGTTGGTGGTGGTTGCAATGTGCTTGGAACCCAAGTGTTAATAAAACCAGGACAATCGTCCCTATTTTTCCACACAATAACATGAGACCATATACCAACTCTATTACTGGTACCATCACTGTACAATGCCTTCAGTGCTGATATGTACTGATTACTAGATGAACTGCTACTGACATTAACTGTGACTTTGAAAAAAACTGGAACGAATGGAAAGTTATTTCCAGAAATAGAAGGTACAATAACATTAACACTGCCATCATTAGCTAAACCAGTTGCATCAGTAGATGAAGATGATAATACAGCATTGTCCATATCAGTTGGATTAGGAATAATGCCAAACTTAATGTCTAACCAGTAAAACTCAATGTCAATGTCATAATGACTCTCATTAACAAGTGGAAGTAATGAAGAGTTGGTCCACTGAAGTGTAATGCTGTCTCCAGCATTAACTGTAATATTATTATCATCAGTGACCATTCTTACATCAGCAAGATCAGAGAAAGAATCTACAAGTATACAAAAAACAAAAAATTACTGACAATTATTATCACAAATAACTTACTAAAATAGAAAATAGCAGTGCTTCCAACATTACTCCCATTACTCCTAAGTACAAACTCAACAGAAGTTACTGTAGTGTTCAACAATGGTGATACACATAAAGCAGTGTTAATAGACACTATAGCACCAGGTACTGAAGCATCACCAAATAAACAAGTAATATTATCAGTAGCATTGAAACAGGGACCCTTCACTGTAACTGGAGTACCACCTAACTCATTACCACTGTTCGGTGATATGAGCACTGTTAAATAAATAAATTAATAAAACAATTATAAATAATATCATTATGTACCAGTAATATCATTATTAGTAGTATCACAGGATGATCCACTAGTACCATCATTCACATTCCAAATATAGAAACCATTAGGGGCTCCAGTGATGTTGGTATAATCCTCCACATTAATGACATCAGGGGTTGAAGATACATTCAGTACATGATAGGTAACCCCATCACCTTTATTGAGTCCCACCTGAGCCGGAGTACCATTGATACCTCCAGTACCTCCACTGGCGTCACCAGAGTACCAGTTGATACCTCCTTCAGGGAATAGGAACATTGCGTATGATGTAACTCCATTTGTTGCTAGTACACACTGGAATGTATTGGTCTAAAGGAGTGCTAACAATAATAGAGTCAATACAGTACAAACCTTGTCAGTTTTCTTGTTATAATATCCAACATTATCCCAAGTAGCTATTAGTATCTCATTAGGTACAAAGTCCTGATCATTACTGAAGTATTGGATCACTTCTTCTCTGACACTCAGTACAGTAGAGATATCACTGGTAGCTCTGTACCACACGTGACCTCTGGGAGAACCAGGTACATATCCATCAGGTAATCTGATGTCTACATTAGCCCAGAATGGAGATATGAGTGGAGAGTTATCCAGTGGGAATGGCTGAGGGTTGTAAGCATGTACTGGAGCTATGAATGATATAACACCATTAGTATTAACCTGCAGATATACAAGTGTAATAACTATAACTAATTGGTCCAGTGTCTTACATAGAAGGTAGTGTATGTAGTTCCATAGAATATGAATCCATAAGTGAAGTTGAGTGGCCCTATGCTTCCATCATCATTAGGAGGTAGTTCACTGTCACCAGCACTCACTCCATAGGGAAACAAACTAGCAGAAGAGACACAACCAGCCAAGAAGAACAGCAAGAAAATCTTTAAAATACTCATCTCCATCACTTAGCTAATACAAGATCAATGCCCAGTTGCAGGTAGGGCAGTATTGCAGTACAGCAACAGTTGAGTTGATAACAAGACCTGCTATGCAGGAGAATATATGGACTGAAGGAATATATGGAACTAGACTAAACTATTGAAAGGGTTGGGCCAAATAAGCTGACAACAGTAGGCCTCTTTTGATAGAATTATCAAATTTCACAAATTATTATTGATATTCATATTGTGTTGTCTAGGAAGGAACAAGACTCAATACGACCATATATGGAAACTTAATTATGAATAATGCGAATACTAACGATATTCATAGCTATTGTCATTATGCATTGTCATGGCAACATTAAATAGGTGGGAGTGGTTTATGCATCTTCATTACAAAGTCAATTTTCTTTTTCATTTCCCTGTTGTAGACTCGTACTGCTCGTTCATACTCCATTCTCTCCGTCTTTTTGGTACCAGTTTCATGATAACGTTTTCTATGTACCTAACAGCAAAGGACAGGGAAACTTGATATAAAGAGAACCTTCTCCCTTACTCACTTTAGTGATAATGTTGTGATCGTTCATTATTTTAGTCAGACTTTTATAAGCTACGTCTACAGGAGAAGTACCATACTCTGAGCTAACATTAGGGTCCACAATGACTATTCTATTGGTCACTTTCTGAATTGCCTTTCTAACCGCCATTTATTAAATCTGACTCCGTGAATCTTTGAAAAACTCCGCTACACTTATCAGCTATAATCCGTATATCTACTCCGTGTAACATTAAGCACTCAGTACATTTCTAACATTAATAAGTTCATGTTAACTTTTAAATTTGATTATTATTCATTAGTAAGTGATGAGGATTATTCTGCCATTAGACCAGTAGGTAGGGGGAACCCATATTGTCTGCTGTAGTGTCTCAGTTGCTCTTCTAGCTCTACATTCTTTTGCACAGCGACTGTAACATTGTACTTTAAGTCTTCAATCTCCTCAAAGAACTGAGGATCAAATGAATCCAGCTCTGCTTTTAACTAAAAATAGTAACAAGATATGATACTATAAATAGCATCAACTATAAATAGTTACTTTATCATTTTCTCTCTTCAGTTCATCTCTTTTCCTCACTGTCTCTTGATGAGGTTCAGTGAACTAAGTGTTCATGTACATTAATTATGATATTATATTATATTACTTTAATTTTATCATCTTCAAGTTTGCTTTTGTCCGACTTCAGTTTTGATATATTAGCATATAACTTCTCACTTTTCTCTATCTCCTTTAAAAGGAATATGTACATACACGTACAGTATTACATTGTACATGTCATGATTGACTAACTTTTCTAAGTTCATTTCTTAGTCTTTCATTCTCTGAGATGAGTCCAGCCAGTGAATGGTCTCCACTAGCAGCTGCTCTTTTCCCTCCTAAAGCTGCTAGTGATTTGTGAGCTTTATCTAATTCAACCTATTGGACACTCACACAATAAAGAGAGAGAGAGAGTCTATTATTATTATACTTTTAGTCTTTTGTTTTCAGATTCTAGCAGTCCCTTTTGCTGCTTCTTTTCTTTAGTCTTCAGTGTCTCATTCTCTTTCTGTAGTTTCTCTATTAGCCTCTTCATTGAGGAAACGGTTTTCTCAACTTCTGCAGCTGAGAAATACCCAGCCTTTGACTCAAACTACACATCAACAATACATTACAAGTACATGTACATGTACATGTTTGTGTACCTCTAGTTTCTCTCTCTCAGAGTTTGCTCCTTTCAATACTTCAATGTACTGCTCAAGGTCTTTGATTCTCGACTGAATCAGTGACAAGATCATTTATGATAATTATTAATAATTATTAATTACCTTTAGTCGTGGTGTTTCCATGGTAACCTGTTGATGCTGGAGCTGCAGGTGAGCCAGTCTCTTCTTAGATTGGAGCAACTCTTCCCTCAGCTTACTCTCCACTGATAGGACCCCGCCTCCTCCTTCATTAGTACACTATAATAAGGGAATCAATGTTACGTACATGTATTATTAGTATTATCACCATTGTGGGTGGGACTTTATTTTCTTTAGTCTTCATCAGTTCCTCATTAATGTTAGTTAGTGATTTTATTTCAATTTTAAGTTTCTCTACATCATAATTATAATTTGCTTCCCACTCCTTTAATGACAGCTGCAGACTAGCCACCTAAAGACCGCCAAACAATACCCGGCCATCATTAGTTACAAACCCAATACATTAACCCAATGAACAGTGGGGGGGGCAGTACTCACTTTATTCTCTAGTTCAATGTTCTCAGTTCTTAGCTGAGTCTCTACCTCTGATCTCGTTAGAGTGGGCGGGGCAGGTCCTGTTTCCATAGTAACAAGGTCTTGAGGTTTCGTTGCTGATTTTTCAGCTGCTCTTAGTCTCTGGGCCAACACCTCCTTTTCTCTCTCGTACCTAACGAATAATAACCATTAATAACCATTAATAATACTTAATAACTACTAATAACTAGTTAATAACTAGCCACACCTTATCAAAGACTCCTTCAGTGTTGTGATGTGTTTCTGAAGTGTGTCTGTTTCCTTGTTCTTCTCCGACAGTTTCAGTTTCATCGTCTCAATCTTCCTCTGCCATTTCTTACTCTCCTCCCAACGAGCAACTTCAATTGAAGTATGCTAGGGGAGAGAGGGGGAGGGGTGAGGGGGAGGGGCCACAGGAGAGAGTAGTCAGTGGATTATTATACAAACTCACTTTATTGTCCAGCTGTGATATCGTTGAAGGTTTTGGTGATGATTTCTCTGAGCTCATTCTTAAACTGTGGAGCTGTTCCTCTTGTTCTCCCAGCAGCTGCTTCTGCTTATCTACTTTATTTTGAAGAACGTCACAACGTTTGTGTAGCCTGTCACATTCAACCAGTGAAGAAGAATTTCTCTCCTTCAACTAATGAAATAATATCATTAATATTCGTGGATTTTCAATTAATTAAAGTTTCATTACCTGTGCCAGTTCTCTGCTCATGTTATATTCTAATCTCTTTGATTCATTCAGTGATTTCTTCAGTTGCTGTATCTCTTCATCCAATTTACTAATATCCTCTTCTCTTTCTTTGACATCCTGAGAGGGAAAGACCACTTCTCATCAAATTACACATAACACCATCAAACAATACATGTACATGTGCATGTACATGCTCAATAAAGTGCTGTAAAACTAAAGAGCTAATGGTGTGTATACATTACGTTATCCTTCATCATGTAATCTGATTGGAGCCGATCAAACTCAGAACAAGACTCCTTCAATTTCTAAAAATAAATAAATAAATAAATAAATAAATAAATACGTGTACATGTACCTTCTTCACATTATCAAGTTCAGTTTCCAGTTGAAGTGTTTTTGATTTCATTTCTCTCATTTTCTCTTCGTGTTTCTCCTCAGCTCCTCTGACCCTCTCCATCACTAACCTCTGCACACTCACCTCAGCTTCATCCTGTCTACACTGACTCTGTAGCAATGATACAGTACATGATGATTAATACAGTACAGTACATGATGATTAATACAGTGTACAGTACATGATGATTAATACAGTGTACAGTACATGATGATTAATACAGTGTACAGTACATGATGATTAATACAGTGTACAGTACATGATGATTAATACAGTGTACAGTACATGATGATTAATACAGTGTACAGTACATGATGATTAATACAGTGTACAGTACATGATGATTAATACAGTGTACAGTACATGATGATTAATACAGTGTACAGTACATGATGATTAATACAGTGTACAGTACATGATGATTAATACAGTGTACAGTACATGATGATTAATACAGTGTACAGTACATGATGATTAATACAGTACAGTACATGATGATTAATACAGTGTACAGTACATGATGATTAATACAGTGTACAGTACATGATGATTAATACAGTACAGTACATGATGATTAATACAGTACAGTACATGATGATTAATACAGTACAGTACATGATGATTAATACAGTGTACAGTACATGATGATTAATGCAGTGTACAGTACATGATGATTAATACAGTGTACAGTACATGATGATTAATACAGTGTACAGTACATGATGATTAATACAGTGTACAGTACATGATGATTAATACAGTGTACAGTACATGATGA